GCACTACTATAGATTTCATAAACACAATACTTGGGCTATATTGACTTTATTTTAAAATTTTTTCTTTGATAAATTAGCTTACTATAACCCTTTTACTTTATAAACTTATATTGCTTATTTTTTGGACTCTTGCAATAACTAAAAAAGAAACACATTGTATACTGTACAAAAATATCTTCTTTATATGCTTATTCTATTTTTAAAATTTAAATTTTTATTTTTTACTTTTTAAGCTTTTTTGTTAAAAACAAAGATACAAGACATACACATTGGCGTGGGCCTACACCAGGTCAGGATCCTCAATATCAGTGTTTTTCACCTCCACATCTTGTCCCATTGGAAGGTCTTCAGACACAATCACACACACAGAGTTGCCATCTCCTATGATAGCAGTGCCTTCTTCTGGAGTATCTCCTGAAGGACCTGCCTGAGGCTGTTTACAGTTAACTTTTTTTTCTATAAAGCAGAAGGAGTACACTCTAATGATAAAAAGTATAGTATTATAGTAAATACATAACCTAGTAGCATAGTTGTTTATTATCATTATCAAGCTACATACATATATGTATGTATACTACATGTGTACATAATACATATATATGTATTATATAATTGTATGTGCTCTACTTTTCTATCACTAGGTTTGTTTACACCAGCATGACACAAACACATGATTAATGCATTCCATTATGACAGCTACTAGGTGATAGGAATTGTTCAGCTCCATTGTAATCTTATGGGACCAGAGCTGTATATGTGGTCCATTGCTGACAGAAACATTGTCATGGACTGTATATGGTTTTCTTGCTTCACAGTTGTAGGCTTAAAGCAGAATAATCTAGTTACGAACAGGATTTGTAAACAGGTCAGTGGCTAATAGATGTTAGTGTAGGAAAGTGTAAGATACTATACTTATAAATAAAGACTTTTGAGAAACAAGGTTGTCAGGAAAGCAGTCCAAGTCTTGTGTGTTTTGCTGTTTTTTAGACCAACTAAATGCCGATCATCATTCAAACAGTCTGCAAATGCCTATGGAACACTAGCCTTGTGCACGTTGCCTGGCAGGGAGCCTAGAATCTTACAGAAAAGTTAAGACATGTAGATGTAAGGAAACACAATTCAAAATAGAGTGGTACAGTGCCATAGACATAAAGATGTGTCAAGTGCTGTGGGAGTTTAAAAAGAGGAAGTTTTCTTTCGGGTAAAGTGATCTAGAACAGTGGAGTTGGTGGATCTGCAATGAGGCTTTGATGGAAGAGGGTAGGAGGTGAGATTCTGGGATCTTGGAGAGGGGAGAAAAGTTTATCACAGAGAAAAGGAAGAGGAGAAAGTTTGAAACAATTAGAATATGTTTATCCATCACTTGTGAAACATTAGTGAATCAGTAACAAGGATACACTATAAAATTTGAATTCCTGTGCCTCTAAAAACAGTCAGAAGATAAAAAGTTACAGAAAATTATGTCCATTGCTGCACTATTCACAATAGCAAAGACACGGAATCAGACCAAGTGCCCATCAGTGGCAGATTGGATAAAGAAAATGTGGTACATATATACTATGGAATACTCCACAGCCATAAAAAAGAATAAAATTATGTCCTTTGCAGCAACATAGATTAAGCTAGACACCATAATCTTAAGCAAATTAACACAGGAACAAAAGACCAAATACTGCATGTTCTCGCTTACAAGTGGGAGCTAAACATTGAGCACCCATGGACATAAATATGGGAACAGTGGACACTGTGGTCTACTAGAGGGTGGAGGGAAGGGGGGTAAGTTAAAAAACTACCCATTGGGTACAATCCTCACTACCTGGGTGGTGGGATATATACCCCAAACGTCAGCATCAAGGAATATGCCCATGTAACAAACCTACACACATACCCCCATATCTAAAATAAAAGTTGAAATTTTTTAAAAAAAGAAAAAAGTTGCAAATTGATCATGAGGTTGGAGGAGATTTCATATAATGCTCAGTTTTCTGTAGTTAGGTTCTCCCACAAACATTTAAATCTGTGAGTTACTTCTTATAAACAGAACAATAGTGACAAAAACACATGGGTTACCTTTGGAAGATGCCAGAGAACCAATTTATTTTGAAAACTGATAGAGGCAAAAAAAAAAAAAAAAATCAAACACTTTTCTTGTATTACACGAGCTATAGATCATGGTAACTAACTAATGAGAAATAATTTTTCTCTGGAAATATTCCAGCTAATAGATGAAGATGAATGATTGAACTCTAATACCACCATTTTGCAATCCCTAATGAAATAATGGATCTCAATGCTGACCAGCAGTGGCTGCTAATATAGCAAAATGAAAGATAACCAGACATATGCTTCCTGATGTAAAAATGCATTATTCCTTATGAAGTACTCTTACCAAAAAAATCAAACCTGAATTTGATCAAATATCTATATCCAGCCTCCATGGGACAGAATAATATGTTAAATGATGTCAAGGACAGGCTGAGAAACACAAACCTATAACTTAATATCTTAAACCAATAAATTGAGAGAGTGAAGGGGGGAGAGAGGAAAGTGGTTATAGACATGGTTAATTAACATATTAACAAATTTTATTATGGAACCTATTGAATCCTGATTAGAACAATTGTTAAAAGTTTTTTGAAACATTTAGCAGAATTTATAGCGATTACATATTTGGTATCAAGGAGTTGTTATTTACAATGTTAGGATGAGATAATGGTATTGTGGCTATCTTTAATAGCAGAAACAAATGGTAATAGTTATGAATGAAGTGATATGATGCCTTTACTTTGAAATAATCCAATGTGAGAGGAAGCAGGTGGGGGTATTAGATGACGCAAGGTTAATCTCTCAAGTGTTTCATTGGTGAAGCTGGGCTCTGAGTACCTGGGGGCTTGTTATACTGTTCTCTGGAAATTTCAACTTTTTTTTTAGTTGGAGTTTCACACTGTTGTTGGGGCTGGAGTGCAGTGCATGCTCTGGGCTCACTGCAACCCTGCCCAGGTTCAAGTGATTCTCTTTGTCTCAGCCTCCCAAGTAGCTGGGATTACAGGCACCTACCACCACGCCCAGCTAATTTTTTTGTATTTTTAGTAGAGATGGGATTTCACTATGTTGACCAGGCTGGTCTCAAACTCGTGACCTCATGATCCGCCCACCTTGGCCTCCCAAAATGCTGGGATTACAGGTGTGAGCCACTGCACCTGGCCTATTATGACATTTTTATTTTTTATTATTATTATTTTTTTAAATTGTGGGAAGATATCAGCTAAGCAAGAACATGATGAAAGTCTATGAGATTATGAGAGACATGGCAAGGGAGAATATGAATGTGTTTATCATTTTTCTGAATAGTAAAAATAGGGACCATCTTGTATAATTTAAAAGAAGTGGACAATACAAGAAAATTCTTCTTTACACCGTAACTTGTTTTTTAAAATCGATAAATGTTTTGGGAAAACGCATATTTAGAGAATTTGGGGAGGCATTCCTTTTTGAAGCAGACATCTATGCTTTAAACTTGTAACATTATTCTAGTATTCCAGAGCTAAGCTTTCATGTGTAACCTGGCCTATTATAATTTTCAAATGTTTCTGTTACGTAAAGTTTTTGAGGTTGTAAGATAAATATGGTTTCTCTGCAAGAACAGGAAACCAAACACCACATGTTCTCACTCATAAGTGGGAGTTGAACAATGAGAACACATAGACACAGGGAGAACACATAGACACACACCTGGGCCTGTAGGGGAGTGGCGGTTTATGGGGAGGGATAACATTAGGAGAAATGCCTAATGTAGATGACAGGGTGATGGATGCAGCAAACCACCATGTTATGTATATAGCTATGTAACAAACCTGCACATTCTACACATGTACCCCAGAACTTGAAGTGTAATAAAAATAATAAAATGTAAAAAGGTTTATCTACAAGGAACATACATTTTTGTTTGAGAGAACAATAAGCTTATTATGAAAAGTATGTTGACGTGGGATTCAAAATATTTTGAATCCCAAATCTTTTCTTCTGAATGTACTAGACATGAGCCAGTCCTAAAAAAAAAAAAAAAAAAAAATACGCTGATGCCTTTTTCGGCCTCAGCCCACCTGTACCCAGGTGAATAAAAATAAATAAATAAATAAATACATATTTTAAAAAAGATAAATATGGTTTCTCATAGAAGAATTAAATTATTTTCTATTTACTTCTACTACTCTTTGTTTTAAAAACTAGTTTATGAAGATATATATAGTAAGTGTGTACTTAATTGTGCAGCTCAGTGAATCTACATACACACAGTGGTAACTGCCACCCTAAAAAGATACAGAATATTTCCTGTATCTTGGAAGATTCCTGTATGGCCCTTTCCTGTTATCTACTTTACTATCCAGAGGTAACCAATATTCTGACTTCTATCACCATAGATTAGTTTTGTTTTTTCTTGAACTTACATTTTATGTCAGGCTTTTGTTATGCCTTAGAGATTCATTCATGTTTTGCCTATATCAGTAGTTCATTTCTATTGCTGTTTATTATTCCATTGTTTGTCTGTATCTCAATTTACTTATTCTTCTGTAGGCTAATATTTAGTTGTATTTACCTACTGTGTACCACCTAAGCTACTATGAACATTCTTTGGGTAGACATTAATGCATTCCTATCTTTTGAGAATTGGTGGGTCATAAGGTAGGCATACTTTTAGTTCTAAACATATTGGCAAATAGTATTTTCCAAAATAATTGTACCAACTTCACAGTGCTACCAGCAATGTGTGTGAGTTCCAGTTGCTCCACATTCCTTTTTAACACTTGATTTTGAAGCCTTTTTAAAATATTAGCTACTGCAGTGTGTATTCAGTCCTTGATTTGAACCACTGGAACTCTTCTGTCTTTTACATCAAGATATCACACTGGTTCTCTTGTATGTAATTGGTGGGTCCTAACTGTGACGAGTTCTTCATTGTAATTCTTAGACTAAACTATCGCTTTTTTTCCCTTTCCCAGTTGTCACAGGCGGTACTGATGGAATTGGAAAATCATATGCAGAAGAGGTAGGTGATTTTCAAGATCTTTCCTTTCAATATAAAAAAATAAGAATAAATATAGGATGATTTCTTATAATAGTTTTGATTTTTGAAGTATAAACACAAATATAATGTTGTGTGGTACAATAGATGCTTTTTGTTTCTACCTTGTTGGAAATACCATATTTGCTTAAACAGACACAATTTTTTGAAACAAATTTCTATGTAAAATAAGTATAAAACTTTCTGGTTGTACTGGTTACCTGGAACTGGGAACAATTTAGTATACTTTTATGATATATCATGTCAGTGTGTACAGTCTTCAGATTCGAAAGTCAATTATTTTGAACTGTTTTCTGAAAAATAGAAATATTATTATAGGTGGTGATATTTCTAGGCTAGTCCATGCCATCGTTTTCACAAGAAGGACTGTGATTAACAGAAAGGTATTGATAGATACAGGCAGAGGATTCAAGTTCTCTGCAATGAAATTAAAGAACAGGAAATCATCATAGTTTGAAGACAGTTTTACAAAGCAGGAGCCGTGGCAGTATTCTTTAGGCAAGTTTCCCTGCCTTCTGGTCCCTGAGAAGGCGCCTGCAGCCTATGATGAAATGATCTGTAACAGTGGAGTGATTCTGATAAAGATCCCAGCAGATTCATTGGATCTTTCATTGAGCATTATCAAAACGTCTTTTTGTTAATTTAAATTTTTCCAGCTTTTTATTTGGAAGAATATCGAGACTACAGAAAAGTTGCAAGAATATTACCAACACCTGTATACTCTTCACCTGGAGTCACTAATTGTTAATATTTGGAACATATAATTTACTTATTATTATTATTTGGCTGAATCATTTGTAAGTTAGTTACAGAAATAACAGTTCACCCTTAAATATTCCAGGGTGAATATTCTAAGAACTAAAACATTCACCCTTATAATCCCAATACATTGGTCATAATAGGAAGTTTAACTTGACACAATATTCTTGTGTAACATACAGCCTGTATGCAGGTATCCAGTTGCCCAGTACATCCTTTTAAGCTCTTTTTTTTTTTTTTTTTAATTGTTGTTTTTCCAAGTGTTCCAAGATCCAGGTAAGGATTATGCATTGCATTTGGTGTCATGTCTCTTAGTCTCCATTAATCTCAAAGAGTAACTTAGCCTTATTTTTCTTTTATAAGAATGCCATTTTTGAAAAATCCAGGTTAGTTGTTTCGCAGGCAAATTTGGATTTGTCTCATTGTTTTCCCATTAGATTCAGGATAAACATTTTTTCATCAGGAAGGCTACACAGGTTTATCCTTCTGAGTTCATCTTATCAGGAGGCATAAGAAGTCTGGTTTGTTCCATTATTGATTATAAAGGTGATTAATAAGGAATATGTGGGATGACACTTTGAGATTGTATAAATATATTGTTTCCCAATAATCTTTTATCCAACGGTGTTAGGATTCATTGGCAATTTTTGCTTAGATGGATTATTACCATGGTGTTTAAAAAATGGTGATGTTTTTGACTGGGTTTGGTAGCTCATGCCTGTAATGCAAGCACTTTGGGAGGCCGAGGCGGGTGGATCACCTGAAGTCGGGAGTTCAAGACCAGCCCGGCCAACATGGTGAAACCCTGTCTCTACTAAAAATACAAAAATTAGCTGGGTGTGGTGGCAGGTGCCTGTAATCACAGCTACTCAGGAGGCTGAGGCAGGAGAATCACTTGAACCCAGGAAGCCGAGGTTGCCCTGAGATTGTGCCAATGTACCCCAGCCTGGGCGACAGAGTAAGACTCCATCTCAAAACAAACAAACGAAAAAATGGTGATTTTTTTTTTTTCTAATGACATCTCTCCTTCTACATTTATTAAGATAGTAATTTTCTATAGAAGCTTTTCCTTATTCCTTTTCCCCTATTAATTTTTTTAAAGAAGGTATCAGTATGGGCTAATGGTTTTTTTAGTGGTGTTATAGCAGATTAATTTTGCAAATCATCACCAACATTTTTATTTTTATAAAAAATGTTCTTCCATAGCGTCATTTGCAATATCACTCACTACTTAATAAACCCTGACTTTAGGATTTAAGACTGGAATATTAGTTTGCTAAATCACTTTTAGTTCATAGCACCTAATTTATTGCTCATTTATTTTCTGTCTAGAATATTTCACTAAATAGTTCTATACAGATTAGTGCTTTTTTTTCCCTCTACTACTTTGTGTCCTGGGATGGTAACCACATTTATGTAAGTCTTTTTCATTATGTACAGCACTTACACATACTGGGGTAGTTACATAGAAGATGTTCCTCAGGAAATTTTTTTTTTTTTTTTTTTGAGACAGAGTTTCGTTCTGTCACCAGGTTGGAGTGCAGTGGCACGATCTCGGCTCACTGCAACCTCCCACTACCTGGTTTAAGCGATTCTTCTGCCTCAGCCTCCCGAGTAGCTGGGATTATAGGCATGCACTACCACGCCCAGCCAATTTTTGTAGTTTTAGTAGAGATGGAGTTCCACCATGTTGGCCAGGATGGTCTTGATCTCCTGACCTTGTGATCCTCCTGCCTTGGCCTCCTAAAGTGCTGGGATTACAGGCGTGAGCCACCACACTTGGCCTAGGAAAATTCTTTATTAATTTATTCAATTAACTTCTTTAGTTTGCCATGGTCCATAAAATATAATGCTCAAATTAAAATTTTGAAAATCATTGTATTTTTAGGAATGTTTAACATTTTAATGGTAGTTTTCTTTGCCAGTCCTCTGATGTTTGTTTTATATATCCATTCTGCAACAAAAAGTTGTTTTTTTTTTTTTTTTTGAAACAAGGTCTTGCTCTGTTGCAAGCTGAAGTGTAGTGGTGCAGTCATGGCTCGGTGTAGTCTAGACTTCCTGGGCTCAGGTGATCCTCTCACCTCAGCCTCCTGAGTAGCTGGAACTATAGGTGTGTGCCACCACACCCAGATAATTTACCAAAAAAAAAAAATTTTTTTTTAAATTGTTTGTAGAGACAGGATTTTACAATGTTGCCCAGGATGGTTTTGGGCTCCTGGGCTTAAGCAGTTATCCGGCTTCAGCCTCCTAAAATGCCGGGATTACAGGCGTGAACCACTGTGCTTGGCACAAAAACTTTTTTAAAGCTAATTTTTAAATTATAGAAATAGTAGACAATGATTTAAAAAACCCAAATGGTATAAATGGTATAAAATGAAAAAGTAAAAGTCTCCCTCTTTCTAAAACCCTTTGACATTTAAATATTAGCTTGATTTAGAAAGATAACTTTTTGGGAATTTTTTTGGTAAAATCTTCATTTTGGATTGCTTATTCATTGCACTTGGGTTTATATGTGTTTTATTGTTAACTATCATCTGGACAGGTTTTCTTAAAAAGGGGGTTATAGCTCATGAATGTTTTTCAGTGGCATGTACAGGTGTGATTCAGATCTCCTTTGCTTTTTCAGTTAGCAAAGCGTGGAATGAAGGTTGTCCTTATCAGCAGATCACAGGATAAACTTGACCAGGTTTCCAGTGAAATAAGTAAGTCCTCACATCAAACAAAAGCAACACATAGCTAATTAATGTTTTCAAGCGGTTCTTTGGTACTGATATAGTTATTTATAGTTCAGGAAACTTCTTTTTCAAGGAGAGATATCATGAATGACAGCATGAAAAAGCATGGGATGCTTTAAAGATGGATAATCAATTTTAGGCTCGGCCGGTGGCTCACGCCTGTAATCCCAGCACTTTGGGAGGCTGAGGCAGGTGGATCGCCTGAGGTCAAGAGTTTGAGACTGGCCTGACCAACATAGTGAAACCCCGTCTCTACTAAAAATACAAAAAAATTAGCTGGGCGTCATGGTGGGCTCTGTAATCCCAGCTACTCAGGAGTCTGAGGCAGGAGAATCTCTTGAACCTGGGAGGCGGAGGTTGTGGTGAGCCGAGATTGTGCTGCTGCACTCTAGCCTGGGCCACAGAGGGAGACTCCATTTTAGAAAATAAACAAAAGTATTTTTACATTGTTTTAGGATAATTGTAATTTGCTTAAAATGTCTTTTACTGATTTGTTTTGTTTCTCTTGCCAGGAGTCAAATTCTCTGATTATTTTATCATATTCTGCTGAAACATCTAAATTTGTTTGCTGTGGCTTCATTTCAGTATTCCTGAATGCTTTTTACTCTTTTCATCTCAGTGTTTCTAAATGTATAACACATATGTTTTAGGAAAAATAGAAAAGATAGCAATATCCATGTGATGGGAAGTTTTTTAAACTTTCTTCTTAGGCAAGTATGCTTGAGACCTGAATTACAATATGGCAAAGACTCAGCTAACTTCTACTAAATGACCCAGATGAATAAACCAATACTGTTCATTTGTTTGGTAAAACATACTAACTGATGTCCCCAGTTTGCTGACCGTTTGTGGCCAGGAAGCCTCTTCATATAATGCTCATATAATTTTTATCTTTACAAATCAAATTGTTTACTTATAAAGAATCAGTTGTGTTTATTTTCAAACTTACGTTGAGTAATTTTTTACTAAATATTCTGTAAAATGATAAACTGTTAGTGTAAAATCTAGAGTTGTTTCTATAAAAACTAAGTTGAATGCTCTGAAAAACAGTGACTAAAATTACTTCTTTGAAAAAGCAGGGTGTCTCATGCCTATAATCCCAGCACTTTGGAAGGCTGAGGCGGGTGGATCACGAGGTCAAGGGATTGAGACTATGCTGGCCAAAATGGTGAAACCCATCTCCCCTAAAAATATAAAAATTAGCTGGGTGTGGTGGCACGTGTCTGTAGTCCTGGTTACTCAGGATGCTGAGGCAGGAGAATTCTTGAACCCGGGAGGCAGAGGTTGCAGTGAGCCGAGATTGAGCCTTTGCACTCCAGCCTGGTGACAGAGCAAGATTCCATCTCAAGAAAAAACAAAAAACAACCGCAATGAAACATTGGCCATCAAATTAGTGTTGAACAAAGACAAATGTAAAATATTGGAAGAGCTAAAAAAAAGTAAGAAACCTGCTCCCCTGATTGTTTCATATGTGTTGAAGTTTGTTCCGTACTCTATTAGAACTGAAACAGTTATAAATGATAGAATATGGTGTGATGCATGCAAGAAAAACTGGAATTCCAGTCTGCAGATCTAGTCTCAAAGACAAGGTCTTGACCCTACAAAGAGGATGGTGAATGAATTACATTTATACATGGTTTAAGTGAAAATAAAATGATTACAAAGTGTATTTATCTCTGTGAGTCCTTGTTTTAACTAACTTCTCAACTAACAGATTGTCCTAATTCTTTCAGTGAGAATTGATGAGAGAGGATTTCTTCTATATTTTGTTACTAATATTACCACCTACTGCTAACATTTATATGATGCTTTATTATTTATTCATTCTCTCACATATATTCATGTATTATCTCCTTTGATTCTTCCAACATACTTATAAGGTGTATGTTTTTGTTACTATTTCTCTTCAGACCATAGCTGGTCCTATTGGACAGATTATATATAGCTTCCCTTCATCTTTAGATAAAAAGCGGAGTGTATTAGTCTATTTTTCACACTACTGATGAAGACATATATGGGACTGGGGAATTTGTAAAGAAAAAGAGGGTTAATAGACTCACATGGCTGGGGAGGCCTCACAATTATGGCAGAAGGCAAAAGGCACATCTTACACAGCAGCAGGCAAGAGAAAGAATGAGAACCATGCGAAAAGGGTTTCCCCTATAAAACCATCAGATCTCATGAGACTTATTCACTAACCCAAGAACAGTATGGGGGTTACTGCCCCCATGATTCAATGATCTCTTACCATAACACATGGGAATTATGGGAGATACAATTAAAAATGAGATTTGGATGGGGGCACAGGCAAACCATATCACAGAGCCTTATTGGAGATTCCCAATACTAAGTATGTTATATCTTTTTTTTTTTTTTAACTATTTTAACCTTGCTGAGAGTACAGATCTTTACAAATCTGAGCATGTCATATATAGACATACAATATATCATTGGCATTTGAGGATTTTAACATTCAAGATTTCAGCTATGTAAATGTAACCCCAAAGGGCCAAGAGATACAGTATTTTACAATTTTCTGAGGTCTGAATCTGAATTAAGCCATGACACGAATGAGCCTGAAGTAGTTACTCAGATAGTAGGTGAATTTAACATACTGCTTGGATCTCAGTATTGTTTCATTCTTAGCTTCTTGTAGTCTTGTATATAATAACTCTTTTATATATATATTTTATGGCACTTTAGGTTCTGGGGTACATGTGCAGAACCTTCAGGATTATTGCATTGGTACATACATGGCAATGTGGTTTGCTGCCTCATTTCCCCCATCACCTATATCTGGCATTTCTCCTCATGTTATCCCTCCCCAACCTCCCTAACCCCTGCTATCCCTCCCCTACTCCCCCACAACAGACCCCAGTGTGTGATGCTCCCCTCCCTGTGTCCATGTGTTCTCATTGTTCAGCACCCGCCTATGAGTAAGAACATGCAGTGTTTGATTTTCTGTTCTTGTGTCAGTTTGCTGAGAATGATGGTTTCCAGATTCATCCATGTCTCTCACAAACTCATTGTTTTTTATGGTTGTATAGTATTCCATGGTGTATATGTGCCACATTTTCCTTGTCCAGTCTGTCATCGATGGGCATTTGGGTTGGTTCCAGGTCTCTGCTATTGTAAACAGTGCTGCAATGAACATATGTGTGCATGTGTCTTTATAATAGAATGATTTATAATCCTTTGGATATATACCCAGTAATGGGATTGCTGGGTCAAGTGGAATTTCTGTTTCTGGTCCTTGAGGAATCACCACACTGTCTTCCACAATAGTTGAGCTAATTTACACTCCCAACAACAGTGTAAAAGTGTTCCTATTTCCCCACATCCTCTCCAGCATCTGTTGTCTCCAGATTTTTTAATAATCACATTCTAACTGGCGTGAGATGGTATCTCAATGTGGTTTTGATTTGCATTTCTCTAATGACCAGTGATGATGAGCATTTTTTTCATATGTTTTTTGGCCTCATAAATGTCTTCTTTTGAAAAGTGTTCATCTCCTTTGCCCACTTTTGAATGGATTTGTTTTTTTTTTGTAGATCTGTTTTAGTTCTTTGTAGATTCTGGATATTAGCCCTTTGTCAGATGGGTAGATTGCAAAAATTTTTTCCCATTCTGTTGGTTGCCGGTTCACTCTAATGATTGTTTCTTTTGCTGTACAGAAGCTTTGGAGTTTAATTAGATCCCATTTGTCTATTTTGGCTTTTGTTACCAATGCTTTTGGTGTTTTAGTCATGAAGTCCTGGCCTACGCCTATGTCCTGAATGGTTTTGCCTAGGTTTTCTTCTAGGGTTTTTTATGGTGTTAGGTCTTATGTGTAAGTCTCTAATCCATCTGGAGTTAATTTTAGTGTAAGGTGTCAGGAAGGGGTCCAGTTTCTGCTTTTTGCACATGGCTAGCCAGTTTTCCCAACACCATTTATCAAACAGGGAATTCCTTCCCTATTGCTTGTTTTTGTCAGTTTTATCAAAGATCAGATGGTTGGAGATGTGTGGCGTTGCCTCCGAGGCCTCTGTTCTGTTCCATTGGTTGATATGTCTGTTTTGTTACAGTACCATACTGTTTTAATTACTGTAGCCTTGTAGTATAGTTTGAAGTCAGGTAGCATGATGCCTCTAGCTTTGTTCTTTTTGCTTAGAATCGTCTTGGCTATGAAGGCTTTCTTTTGGTTCCATATGAAGTTTAAAGTGTTTTTTTCCAGTTCTGTGAAGAGGATCATAGGTAGCTTGATGGGGATAGCAGTGAATCTATTAATTACTTTGGGCAGTATGGCCATTTCCACGATATTGATTCTTCCTAACCATGAGCATGGAATGTTTCTCCATCTGTTTGTGTCCTCTCTTATTTCCTTGAGCAGTGGTTTGTAGTTCTCCTTGAAGAGGTTCTTTACATCCTTTGATAGCTGTATTCTTAGGTATTTGATTCTCTTTGTAGCAATTGTGAATGGCAGTTTGTTCTTGATTTTGCTCTCTGTAAGTCTGTTATTGGTGTATAGGAATGCTTGTGATTTCTGCACATTGATTCTTGTATCCTGAGAATTTGCTGAAGTTGCCTATCAGTTTTAGGGGATTTTGGTCTGAGACAGTGGGGTCTTCTAAATATACAATCATGTTGTCCTCAAATAGAGACACTTTGACTTCCTCCTTTCCTAATTGAATATCCTTTATTTCTTTTTCTTCCCTGATTGCTCTGGTTAGAACTTCCAATACTATATTGAATAGGAGTGGTGAGAGAGGCATCCTTGTCTAGTGCCAGATTTCAAAGGGAATGCTTTCAGTTTCTGCCCATTCAGTATGATATTGGCTGTGGGTTTGTCGTAAATAGCTTTTATTATTTTGAGATATATTCCGTCAATACCTAGTTTATTGAGAGTTTTTAGCATAAAGAGCTGTTGAATTTTGTCGAAGGCCTTCTCTGCATCTATTGAGATGATCATGTGGTTTTTGTCTTTGGTT